TTTAGCCATTCCATCCCTCCAAGAGTCACTTACTGAGACCAACCACACGCTGGGTGACTTCCTGGATGCAGGCACTACAGGAAGAGCAGGACAGGTAAGGTGAGAGCCCTCCCCAGGCGTGGCAGACAGCCACGATGTCACCCAGTCCCCATGGCCTATTCAGTAGCTGGAACAGAGACTCAAATAAACAGGGACATTCTCCTAGATGAAGAGCACAATGGCTCCTGCTGCCAATTCCCTGCTCCTGGATTGTGGCCTGGGAAATCTCATCCTAGCCAGACCCCCACCTTACCCCACCCCACCCCACCCCAAAGTGTCATGTCCACTGCCTCTTTCCCATGTGGAGTGTGTTGGGTCTTGTTTCCCTCCAGGTCTTTGGGTCTCCCTGCTCCTGGGAGCTGCCACAGGCAATGCTGGCGAGAAACAGAACCTTGTCCTCCGACTTTGTGCTCCTGGGCCTTCTGGTGAGCAGCGAGGCCACAGGGGTGGTATTTACAGTCATCTTTGCAATCTTCGTGGTGGCTGTCATGGCAAATGTGCTCATGATAGTCCTGATCCAGGCCGACTCCCGCCTCCACACGCCCATGTACTTCCTGCTCAGCCAGCTGTCTGTCATGGACACCCTGTTCATCTGCACCACAGTACCCAAGCTCCTGGTGGACATGGTTTCCAAGGAGAAGACCATTTCCTTTGTGGCCTGTGGCATTCAGATCTTCCTCTACTTGACCATGATCGGCTCAGAGTTCTTCCTCTTGGGCCTCATGGCCTACGACCGCTATGTGGCCGTGTGTAACCCCCTCAGGTACTCTGTTCTCATGAACCGCAAGGTGTGTCTTCTGCTGGCTGCTGGAGCCTGGCTGGGCGGCTCCCTGGATGGCTTTCTGCTCACCCCCATTACCATGAATGTCCCATATTGTGGCTCCCACACCATCGACCACTTCTTCTGTGAGATCCCGGCCGTTCTTAGGCTGGCCTGTGCAGACACATCCCTGTACGAAACCCTGATGTACATCTGCTGCGTTCTCATGCTGCTCATCCCCATCTCTATCATCTCCACCTCCTACTCCCTCATCCTGGTCACCGTCCACCGCATGCACTCCACAGAGGGCCGCAAAAAGGCTTTTGCGACCTGCTCTTCCCACTTGACCGTGGTCAGCATTTTCTACGGGGCTGCCTTCTACACCTACGTGCTGCCCCAGTCCTTCCACACCCCCGAACAGGACAAGGTGGTGTCGGCCTTCTACACCATCGTCACACCCATGCTGAACCCCCTCATCTACAGCCTCAGGAACAGGGATGTGATGGGGGCATTTAAAAGGATGCTGACACGTTGTTCATCTGCTCAGAAAGTAGTGACAAGTGACACCTAGGCATTCAGCAACAGCGACAGGAGGACAGGGCTTCTAAGAACCACCTCCATGTGCCCTGTTCCCTCAAAGTGTGCCTCCTGTTGGGGATTAGGATGCTTCAGTCTGTCAGGACTCCTGCTCCTGAGGGAAGTGGGGGATGTAGGGACCTTTTGGCAAAATATTATAAAAGAAATGATTATTAAGTAAGCCCAGGAATTCATTGTGTCTTTGTTTTTTTGTTTAGGGAAAGAATTCAAATATTCATAGTAACTGTTTTGTGTTGAACTTGGCCTTCTTCACAACCTATTTCCTGGTCAAACCAAACCAAAGCCCTAAAAAGCTACCTAATTTTGTGCAGCAAATTGCATGATGATTTCTAAAGCAACAATGTAAAAGAATGCCAATCTACAAAGCAGTGACAAAGATGATGAACCACACAATTCACTCATGTTTTTTATCATGAGATTGATACCACGACCTTGAGAGCTCGGATCATCCTTGCCTCTGTTGTGCTGATGTCAGAGCTCCCAAATACTTGGCCACTCTGATGAACTGAACAGAACCTGTGTTGAGGCATGAACAGCAGAGTGCCACACAGCTACTAGAGGGAGCAGACTCTGGTGTTTGCCACTGAAGAACACTGCTGTGCTTCATCCTTATGAGGGTAATAACAGCACACTGGGCTCAGTTACCTCCTTAGTCCAAAGCTGCAAATTCCCCAGTTCCGTGCATTCAACAACAATGCTTGGAGGCATCTGGGCCTTGATTCTGAGCTGCAGACACCTGGAGAGTTCTCTGTCATGGTCTGGCACGGTAAGATCTCAGTGTCCACAGTGCGTGAAACAGAGCAGGGAGAAAATGCAGATGCAGGGAGAAAACTCGTGCAGTTTCAAAGAGGAAGAACAACATGGCTGGAGCAGGACGGAGACCCAAGAACTCCTGGATTCTGTGTGTGTTGGAAACCAATGTGGAATGAAGGACAGCTCACTGGTTTGAGCAGAAAGATGGGTGAACAGAATTGTTACTGACTGACTGAGCTTAGGAAGACTTCCACAGTGGCAGTTAGGAGAAATCAAGAATTTTTGAAATGTCTCTTAGATGTCAAAGCCATACAGCAATTCAACTGGAATTCAGATTTGATTCTGAATTCAGGGCTAGTTGAGGTCACTCTACCTAAGAGAATGGATTTGAGATTTAGACCTGAGGCTCAAGTCTAAATGAGAAGTGAATGAGAGAGGCAATAAGGTCTTGTGAAGTAAGAAGAAACAACATCTGAGGCAAGGGTAAAGAAAGCATTTGAAGAAAGAGGCTAGGATCACCTGCAACAAGTGTACACTATAGCTGGAGGAAGACTGTGGGGCAACATGGAACACCCTGGGACATTCCCAGGAGCAGCTTCCTGGGGGACATCCCACCTGGACAGGACTCTAGAGCGTGGATTGGATGAGGGCAGTATAAGTAGTGTTGATATTGGGTTTCTTTTTTGTTTCTGTTTGGAAAGGAGAGGAGAGATATGGAACACATGTAGAAGGGCATGAGATACCAATGTGCTTGTTGTCTGCTGCCACAGCTGTCTATGGTTTCAAAAGAATTAGCCAGTTCAGCGAAATAAAACAGTGATGGATGAGACATGGAGCAAGCTTCAGGGGGATGTTCTCTGAGCACAGATGTCAGCACAGAGCAGAGAGGTTGACATGTGTGAATGCATGTGTGTGCACTTGTGTGCCCGTGTGTGTACGCATGCATGTATGCATGCACATATGTGTGTGCATGTGTGTGTGTGTATTCACGGTCAGGTCACTGCCTACAGCAGTAGGGAAGGCAGAGCACAGGACATGTGAGAGGGCTATCTGACAGCTTTCATCTCCTTCTCAGAGGAACTGGAGTCAAGCCCAGCTTCATGAGCAGAGAGCAGGGGCTCTTGTTCAAAGTTTTGGAGTGACTAAAGTCATCCTGCAGAGGGGGTAGGTGAGCGAGCAGGGCAGAGACAGAAGGACTGAAGGGCATCCTTAGCACCACCCAGGATTGGGTTTATGAATTTTATGAACATGTCTGTCTGATAATTTGTGACATGTACTCAAATAAATGTATTGTTAATTATATTTATCCCAAGTGATAAATAAATGTTTACTGTGTGCTGATTTATGTGTGGCTGGCATTTGTGCATCTCCCAGTATGCATTTTATATTTCAATTAACACACTATATAAAATGAATGAGTATTTATTACAAGGTATATGTGCTAGCTTAATAAACACTCTTGTATAGTTGCCATGTGCGAGCACATACAACCACTTGTGTGCAGCGAGGAGAAGCAGCGAGTATTATCTGAGGTCCATTGAGTGAAATCAAGGCAGTGCATGTGCGTGAGGTGTGAGATGAGCCATAGCAGGATGGGGTCCACCCTCTCTCTCTTCCTTAATGAAAATTCCCTAATATGTACAGATACTATTTAGATCTGAATATAAATAACACTGAAAAATGTGGCTTTGTGTTATCCTTATTTGCCTATTTCTCTTCCAGCTTGCTAGAATGTACACACGATGGCAGGAGCTCAGGCAACCATCTTGCTCAAATGAAAGCGTCCTTATCCTCTCCATGGTGGAGGAGGAGGCTGGGTGATGTCTGTACCACCTCAGGGACAGTCAGAGATCAGAAGTGACCACTTAAGTCTATATACTCTGAAAAGCCATAGAAATCTAAGGGGAAAGACTACAGTGCACAGAGTGGGAAAACAGTATCTTTCATACACATTTACCTGGATATCAAAACTTAGTGTGATATTTGTGTTCTACTGAGAATAGAAAATACCCATGCATCCTCAAAGCAACTTTGTAATGATCAATCAGTTTTTATGTAATAGACATATGGTGAGGGTTTTATGAAAGTTTTCTGAACACTTGATTTCTAAGACTGTGTCAGCTTTGAAAAATTTAAATATATTTTATTATTTTTGTTTGTATATTCTTGTCAATATGGTAGAACTTATTCCTCCTGTCTAGCTTATTTTGAATGATAGTATTGGTGTGTTCAGAATTCAGGATCGAGAGTTTTATTCTCTCACTCTTTTCCTCTGACACTTCCTCTCTGACAAATTGATTATCTGGAAATACGCTGTTTCACCTAACATATTTACAGATTTTTCTAAAATAACTTGAGGTTTCTGTGTTGCTGAATCTCAGTGAGATTCTCTTGTTGCCAGAGAATGCACTCTGCATGATGTTAATCTTTTGTCTACAGTGAGGTTGGTTTTATCTGGATGGATGGCAAAATGTGTCTTCTGTTGCTGGTTGGTAAAATGTTCTGTGTGCATCTGTCTCCATCCTGAATCTGAGGGGGACAATGCCTGACTTTTCTCAGTCTCACCTGATTTTTACTCTTTGGAGTTTTTTGGTAATCAAAGGCTGGTGTCAATTAGCACAAACCAGCTGCATGCACCCTTCAAACTGGGCCCAGTCTAAAGAAAGCAATAATAATCAAAATTGTATCTGTTCAACCACTTTGGCCCCTATCGGCCCTTTGAGCTTATTGGTGTTGACTCAGTGTGTGGGTGGTTTTTGGTAAGTCTGAAGAGGCCAAGGCAACTTGGCTGTCTGACAAGGTCACAGCAGGAGGTCTGTCTCCTCAGGGCGTGAGTCTGACAAGATGGGTATCTGTGGTGGTTTTAGATTTATTGATACAAAAAAGCCAGTTTCCTGGTGGTCCCGCTGGTGGCTGGCGATTGCTATATTCTTGGAAATCTGTGATAAATGACCTCTGCTCAAAATGACCTCACTGATGGTTGAGCTGTTTGATGGACTAGATCCTCCTAGACATTCAATCCCTTCTGATGCATCAGTTATCTGCAATAAACGCCTAGACGGAACTCCAAACTGTAAGGTATACGGTATGCAGTTAGACCTGATTCAGGGATAAGAAGGGCCTTGGAGAAGGTCTTCAGTCTCCTGCTATAATCCACTTGAGATTATGTCTTCTCATAGACGAATGACTTGTAAATACCTTAGTCTGTGTAGCCTGATGGAAAGAACATAAAGTAATTACCAAATCAGTGAGCGAATCTTAAATGAACTACTAAAACTAAATAGTAGTGAAGGGTTATGGAAAGGACATGTGTAATGAATGGGTTTGTTTGAGCTGGGTGTTAACGGTTACTAATGGAGTTAAACTAAAAGGTAAATGTTCCAATCTTCATAATCAATTGTTGTAAGTAGATGTTCCAATTCTTTGCAAAAAAAATAGTGTTTTTTGTATTCGATTATTGTATAATTTAGCATCACTTTGAGTCTCTGTTCTATTGTATTTCAAATATAAATTAAATCTTTAAAATCAAAGAAATTGTTACATGGCTATGGAAATCAAGATTAGGGAGGGGTTACACGTAATAGGAGGTCAATGGTTTGAAGTGGATGGGAAACAGACTTTGTTATCATAAGGAAACATCATTAACTCTGTAAGGATCATTTATGAGTGGGCATTTGCAAAATTTATGACAGTAAAGAATGTGTAAAATCAACAGCGGATGTAACTTAGGGTATAAAAATAAAGTCTGTTGCTCTCTCATCGGAGCCATGCCATCAGCCTTGCTGTGAGTGTGTCTCTCATTTCTCCCCATACCGACGCCTCCCACACATTCGGGAACTCCTGGACCTGCCAGAGCAGGCCTCTGGCAAAAGTCCACCTGGGCGTTCCAAGTAACACAACTAACAGTTCTGGTAGTGCCTGCCAATTATTACAGAAGGATACATTCTAAAGATGAGGAAAGTGGAATAATCTAAAATAAATTTGAGGAACAGCTAACTGGGTATGATAAAACCAGAATGAGACTAATCATAAGGGGGTGAAAAGAAGTAAACAGGAGAAAAAAGCATCCAAGGGATTGCCAAAACTTTCCTGGAAAGAGGCATTATTCACAATTCTGGGTGGGGTTCAGAAACTGTTCTGCACCAAAATAAAATTGTGCTAGCTTTTTAAGTGTAGGAACAGGGCCCTTCTTGAGGCACTGTGAAGGATAGACATAAGTTTGAAAACAGCCCCAAAGAGCGACCTGAACTCTATTCAAATGGAGAGAACACAAATCAAATCCATGGTGGAACTCAGGGGGAGGGATGGTGACTTCACTGATGCTTTACAAAGAAGTTTTAGGGACAGCATTCCAATGATATCACAGAAGGCAAATGGCTGACTCATTTTAAGGGGTGGGATGAGATGAAGTGAAGCCCTCAGTAGCACACCATGCATACCTCTTTGTGAGGAAAAAGCTAATCTCATTCTGGGCAGTACAGAGGAACCGCAATGAACAGCCAGCCCAACAGACATCTCCTTCAGTGCAGCTAACATAATCCTGTCTGTACCATGAAAGTGGAGCAAAGCTTCGGCTCAACGGGTACCCACACTTGTCTTGTTGTGTCAGATCACCTGCAAACAAAAGCTGAGCTTCCAGCAGAAATCTCATATACAAGTGGGATCAAGATGTTGAAGCAGGAGACAAAACATGGCCTTAGCAGCAAGAGCCACAAGAAAGCCATGGCTACTAAGGGGAAGTGGTCCAGGCAGAGCAAAAGAAGATAGGTCAAGAGCAAAGGTCACAGCAACAGTCTGTTGGAGACGTTGGTTGAGTTTCTGCAGGGTCAAAGAACGAAATGTCTGTTAATTGTGGGGGTGTTTTGAGACACTGAGTCAAAGATTCCGTGGAAAATCCCCAAGGAAAGCTCTCCCTGAGAGTCGTCCGGCACCGTGACAGTGCCCCTGCTCATTTCCCTCATCAAACCAGGACAAGTCTAATGGCTCTCAGTGGGACATCAGGCATCCACCTTACATTCCTACTTTGGCTCCTTCTGACTTCATTTTGTTCCCTAGTGTCTAAAAGTCTTTGAGGGACACCCACTCCTCTTTAGCTAACATCTCCCAGCACCCTTAGTTTGCCAGAGATGAACTAGGTGGAAGCCTCTTGAGTTCATCATCTCCCATCTTATTTAGACAAGGCCATAGTTAAAGTGGAAGTTCTCTACGCCCTTCAGAGTAAGGTACCTCCTTCTTTGATGGCCCGTTCTTTCTGCTGGGATCTCACCCACCGAGATATTTCATTTAAATCTTTTTTTTTTTTTTTTTTTTTTTGCCACAGGTCTTGGCTTTCCATTCCTGAGAAACTCTCATGGACTTTTTAGCCAGATCTGAATGTCTTAAGGGCTGATTCTGAGGCCAGAATGCTGTTTAGGACATCTGCCATTCTATGAGTCTGCTGTATATACACTTCCCATGTTGGATAGTTCTCTCCTTTTTAATTCTATCAGTTAGTATTAGCAGACACTAGCCTTGTTTATGTGATCCCTTTGACACTAATTCTATCATTATGATCAATTATGAACTGAAACTGATCATTTTGACTAGTGAGATGGCATTGGTACATGCCACCTTAATGGGATTGAATTGGAATCCCCTGGCACATTTCTAGCTCTACCATTAGCAGTAAGTCTGAGTGAGCATGTGCTGAGCTAAACATCTCCTCCTTCTCTTATTCCCACTCTTATATTTAACAGCAATCACTTTTCAGTTAAATTTAAATGCCTATGGCCGGCGCCACAGCTCAATAGGCTAATCCTCTGCCTGTGGCGCTGGCACACTGGGTTCTAGTCCCAGTCGGGGGCCCGATCTGTCCCAGTTGCCCCTCTTCCAGGCCAGCTCTCTGCTGTGGCCCGGAGTGCAGTGGAGGATGGCCCAGGTCCTTAGGCCCTGCACCCGCATGGGAGACCAGGAGAAGCACCTGGTTCCTGGCTTCGGATCAGCATGGTGTGCTGGCACAGCATGCCAGATGCAGTGGTCATTGGAGCGTGAACCAACGGTAAAGGAAGACCTTTCTCTCTGTCTCTCTCCCTCTCACTGTCCACTCTGCCTGTCAAAAAAAATAGGCTGGTGCCATGGCTCAATAGGCTAACCCCCTGTCTGCAGCGCTGGCACACCGGGTTCTAGTCCCGGTCGGGGCGCTGGATTCTGTCCTGGTTGCCCCTCTTCCAGGCCAGCTCTCTGCTGTGGCCCAGGAGTGCAGTGGAGGGTGGCCCAGGTCCTTGGGCCCTGCACCCACAGGAGAGACCAGGAGAAGCACCTGGCTTCTGGCTTTGGATCAGTGTGGTGTGCGGGCCGCAGTGCGCTGGCTGCAGTGGCCATTGGAGGGTGAACCAATGGTAAAGGAAGACCATTCTCCCTGTCTCTCTCACTATCCACTCTGACTGTCAAAAAAAAAAGAAAGAAAGAAAGAAAGAAAGAAAGAAAGAAAGAAAGAAAAGAAAAAAGAAAAAAAATTAAATGCCTAAGAATAATTGTGTGTTAGTTGAAGAGTTCAAACAATGGTATTAAGTAGAACAAAAAAAATACCAAAAGGAATAAAATAGTAAGTTGTTCTTCAACAGTCAGGACAAGGACTGATCAAGTCATTGTTTCTCATAGTGTCAATTTCACTTCTACAGGTTTCCTTTTAGGTGCTCAGTTAGTTGCCACAGATCAGGGAGAAAACATGATATTTGTCCCGTTGGGGCTGGCTTAATTCATTCAGCGTGATGTTTTCCAGATTCCTCCATTTTGTTGCAAATGACCAATTTCATTTTTTTTTAACTGCTGGATAGTATTCTATAGAGTAAATATCCCAAAATTTCTTTATCCAGTCTTCTGTTGATGGGTTGATTCCAGGTCTTAGCTATTGTGAATTGAGCTGCAATAAACATTGAGATACAGACAGCTCTTTTATTTACCAGTTTAATTTCCTTTGGGCAAATTCCAAGGAGTGGGATGACTGGGTTGTATGGTAGGGTTATATTCAGGTTTCTGAGGAATCTCCAGACTGACTTCCATAGTGGCTTAACCAGTGTGCATTCCCACCAACAGTGGGTTAGTGTCCTTTTTCCCACATTCTTACCAGCATCTGTTGTTAGTTTATTTCTATATGTAAGCATTCTAACTGGGGTGAGTTTAAACCTCATTGTGGTTTTGATTGATTTACATTTCCCTGATGGCTAGTGATCCTGAACATTTTTTCGTGTGTCTGTTGGACATTTGGAGTTCCTCTTTTGTAAAATGTCTGCTTAGGTCCTTGGCCCATCTCTTAAGTGGGTTGTTTGTTTTGTTGTTGTGGAGTTTCTTGATCTCTTTGTAGATTCTGGTTATTAAACCTTTATCAGTTGCATAATTTGCAAATATTTTACCCATTCTGTCGGTTGCCTCTTCACTTTCCTGACTGTTTCTTTTGCAGTACAGAAACTTCTCAAATGGATGTAATCCCAATTTTTTTTCTTTTTTTTTTTAACTTTTATTTAATGAATATAAATTTCCAAAGTACGACTTATGGATTACAATGGCTTCCCCCCATACCGTCCCTCCCACCCACAACCCTCCCCTTTCCAACTCCCTCTCCCCTTCCATTCACATCCAGATTCATTTTCGATTATCTTAATATACAGAAGATCAGCATAGTATACATTAAGTAAGGATTTCAACAGTTTGCTCCCACACAGAAACATAAAGTGAAGAATAATAGATGATTTTTTTTAAGTGATGATGAAATCAGATCAGACCTATTGTCATGTTTAATCCCAGTGAGAGTCAAGTTGGGAATTGATAATTTCTTCTTTTTTTTTTTTTTTAAAGAAGATCAGTTTAGTATACATTAAGTAAAGATTTCAACAGTTTGCACCCCCATAGAAACACAAAGTGAAATATACTGTTTGAGTACTCATTATAGCATTAAGCCTCAATGTACAGCACATTAAGGACAGAGATCCTACATGAGGAGTAAGTGCACAGTGACTCCTGTTGTTGACTTTACCAATTGACACTCCTGTCTATGGCATCAGTAATCTCCCTATGCTCCAGTCATGAGTTTCCAAGGCTATGGAAGCCCTCTGAGTTCACCGACTCTTATCTTGTTTAGACAAGGTCATAGTCAAAGTGGAGGTTCTCTCCTCCCTTCAGAGAAAGGTACCTCCTTCTTTGAAGACCTGTTCTTTCCACTGGGATCTCACTCACAG